CACAGATCATTTGCCCTCCATAGAAGTCCGAGTGGATCCATGAAGAATATAGATAAAACCACCACTGAATTTGTAATTTGATCTCGGGAGTCCCTAGTGACCCCAAGATCAACGCACTCAGATTTCTCTGGTGATTTCCACCGGCAGGAGTTCGCCACATTTCAACATCATGCCTTATCGCGAAGTTATTCACCTTAAGGCAAAGCAAACAGAAAGGTAGAAACAAACAAGAAAAGCACTGACCACCCTTGGAACGCATAGAAACACAACATTTCAATATCACCACATTCCATGACCCTTTTTTTTTCACACAATGATCCTGGTTCAGAGATATATCAGCCATCAGCTTCCAACTTCTACAACCATCTGGGTAAATTATAATAATTCACTAACCTGAATTAAGCCCATTTGAGGATGATTTCCCTTACTAACCATGATTCCCAGTGGTCGTAGTGAGGTCGTTATAATTTACCCAGAACCATATCAAGTTTCGTCGTTGAGGTGCTGCCCGTTATCCAAATTCGATGGCACCCTACTGGTGCCCGTGACGTTCCAAGTTCCCACTGTGCGCCCCACTGCGGTTGGCTCACCAGCGCCGCCTCGAGCTTCGTGGGGATGGCTTCAAATATTGGGTGAGACCAGGGAAAGTGAGCATGTAGCTATAGCCGGCCCAAAACTCTAGATATGATCTCTAGATATGTAACGGTATATTCTGAGATATATACCATCTGGTTATTTAACATAGCCATGGAAAATCACCATTTTTAATAGGTAAACCATCTATAAATGGGCCATTTTCCATGGCTATGTTAAATAACCAGAGGGTAATTATATATTATGCAAGCATTTGGCAGATTCCTCCAACTGTAGTGATGAGTGTGCCGCAACGCCGGCTACACATCAGGCCCGCAGAAGATGGACCTTAAGAACCAACAAAATTTCCTGGGGCCCAAATCGGTAGGCGCGTTTCGCCCCCGATCCAACTGCAGATGTATCAAGATCTCCACCATAAATCCAATAAATCCAATCCTTGGCATAGTGAAACAATCCGAGTCACCTATCATAAATCTAATATCGGTGTCAAAAAAAGGCTATGTGTCAAAACCCTGGTACCCCTGGTGAACCTCAAAATAGCTGGTAAATCAGGGGTTGGTAAATGTCCCAATTGAACATCACCCAACTATTGGGGATATAAATTCCAACAGATATTTGAAGGTGATATTCAAAATCCCCAAAAAGGGACATTTACCAACCCCTGTAAATAGATCTTCATCCCAGGAAAATTGATAGTAATAGGTTTTGACCCACCCCCATATCCTCATGTTGGGCCGGTCCCGGCTGAGTTCCGTGCCCGAAAAACTGTCGCCGGGCGACTCCTGCTATCAACAGCTACCTACATTCAGAATCATGTGGAACCATACTATCTCATAATATATATATATATATACATAATATACATAATATATAATATATAATATATAACTATATATATTATATAACTATATATATATAAAGTATATCATAATATATTATAATATGAGATTCGTGCCGTGGTCCAAGGTTTCATGGGATTTGGGTAAAAAGAAATGGCTCATTGTCATCCTTCCCATGTGATGTCTTCCTCCAAAAAACTGGGTATACATGGGTATACAAGGCACTTAAACAATGTATATGCCATCCAAAAACAGGGCTTCTCATGGGATAGTAATGGGATAATCATGGTCAATCATCCCTGCCGGATTTTATCATGGTTCATGATCCATAGAAAAATTATCTGCAGGGCGTTGAACGTTGACATCCAGTTCTTGTTTCAAAGCGAAGGGCGCATCAGCGCGTCATCCAGGAACTATTCAGGGCAGGCACTTCGAACTGGGAATAGATCTCCATTTCTGAGCCATTTCCCATTTCCAGGGTTGATCTTAAGATCGAAATCTGTGGACGAGAACACATTAAAAAATAACTAATGGATGAATATATGGCCCAAACTTCGGAAACTGGCACTTTCCACTCCTCGCCGGTGGAAACCTCTTCTCGTGGTGATGCCTGGAGACGCCAGATGATCGGTTGTTGGGCTGATTAGCAACCTGGTTGTCTAAGGCGTCCGACAAATTGTCCGAATCATTCCGAATCATCAACACGTTGCGGATAGATCTCGGCAAATATAGCAAATCTTATCTTGACAATTCACTAAACTCAAATAAAACATAATAAAACTATATATGTATGTATGTATATACATATATATATACTGTATATATATTGGGATACTTCCCCGAATCCTAACCATAATTTCAAGCTTCAGTCACCGTAAAGTCATGTAAAGTCCCGCTATTTTACCCAGATAGATCATGGAACCATAGACTGCCAAGTCACATCGTCTCCATTTGGCTGAGCAACACTTTGCAGGATCGTCCTAACCCCAACAGACCCGGCAGCATCTGTGGCGGCTTCAAATCATCTCCAACCATCAACTTGAACATAATCAGCTATTGCAGCTATTGATTGCCGGTAGATCAATCACCAATCATCTCCAATCATCAATCATCAATCACCCTATCATCAATCATCAATCACCACCAATCATCCAATCAATCATCCAATCAATCATCCAATCATCCAATCAATCATCCCATACTACCACAAATGGTCTCGAAAAAAAGAAACCCAAATGGTAAGTTTCTTTTTGGCTTTACCATTCATGTTGGATCCACCCCATTTCATAAACCATCCCCAAGTCATCATCATGTTTATGGGTGGTATAGTATGTTTGCCATTCACAAATCAATAGGTTTAGATTATTGGCTTTCCCACATTACTTTATATACATATATATATACATATATATGTATGTATACATATATATATATATATATGTATATGTAATTATATATACAGTATATATATATATTGATCTTGGGAGGAAAAAAAAACATTGAAACCATCCCCAGATGCTAAGTTTATTGTTGTGCTTAATGCTTTACCAGCCATTCCCAGCCATCCTGTAGGCATAGAGAAGCAATCGGATGGAGCCCATGCCCCGTTGCCCGGCCATTTCTTGTGCCTGAAAATTTTTTCGACGCGAGTTTCGACGCGACAACACGTGTGGTTTAGAGGTGTCCTGATATAATATCTATCATTCTCTATGGTTTATGGTGTGTATATATATATATATATATATACAGCCTCGTCCAGGCTTCTGGAACTACGTAAACCTGAATTAGGTTGGTAAAACTTGTCCATTCCGTGACGAAATTTCGTCGCGGAATTAACAAGTTTCATTTGGGTCATGTTCATCATCATCATCCTCATCCTCATCATCATCATCATCATCAGTATCATCGTAGCATCAACTGCTGCCGCAAGTTCACATGAACGTTAACATCCCACTCCACCCCACCCCACCCCGCGTGTGCGTAGCATCAACTGCTGCCGCAAGTTCACATGAACGTTAACACCCCACCCCACCCCCACCCCGCGTCATCACCGCAAGTTCACATGAACGTTAACATCCCACCCCACCCCACCCCGCGTGTGCGTAGCATCAACTGCTGCCGCAAGTTCACATGAACGTTAACATCCCACCCCACCCCACCCCGCGTGTGCGTTGTGCGTGCTGCTGCCGCAAGTTCACATGAACGTTAACATCCCACCCCACCCCCCAATCGTATTCAGGTTTACGCAGTTCCAGAAGCCTGGACAAGCCTTATATATACATAAATACATATATATATATATATATCCTATAGTATTCGTGGATGTTTTTGAACCAAGGAAAACATAGCTGGAGGTTTCCGTTTTGTCATGAGGCCCCGATGGCATCATCTAATCGTCACTGGTGGATCCTGCATCTGGGATTGGTTCCAGGGAGAATCTTCGCCGGAATCCATGGAAGTTTGATGCCCACCGCCCCAAACACCCCAGGTACATTTGGGGGTTATTCTCAGGTAAATATGGAGGTACGAGATGACAAAGTTACCCCCCCAGAATGTGGCTATCATTTAGCTACAATTTGGAGCAACCCTGGACCAATATGAACATGTGAGAAACTGTGAAACCTGCAGATTTACCCTTGAACTAAGTATGGAAAAACTGCTCTTCAGCTTTGTGTTCCTGCTGGTCATTGCTGGTCATTGCTGGTCCAAACAATGTACGTCAGTTGGCGTCTAGCGGGTTCCTTCGAGCATTGGCACACCGGACCATGTGAGATCGGATGCAACACAAACCCAAAAGTCACCAGGTATCGATGGTTTCAAGCAACCAAAGGTTGTTTGGTATCATCATCATCATCATCATCATCATGATCATAATCATCATCATCAACCATCAAATATAATCAATAATCATCATGAACCATTAAGAACCAGCACTAGCCATACTAATCACATCATGATCATCATCATCATCATCATCATCCAGGCTCCAGGAGTATTGCCGCACTGGCGAAAACCGCTGGCAGGTCACAAGTGTTGTCATCTCGCTGATGGCCCACCTTGCTGAAAGCTGCTGACGTTTTATGTAGGATGATGGATTAAGCCGAAAAAACACTTAGCAAACGACATAGCTATCTTATGTTATCTGAAAAAAAAAGCTGGAGAAACCACATTTACATATTTAGAAAAAAAAAGAAGACTCAAAGATCTTCAGTAAATCGCAACATCTCTGGAAAGGTCTTACCACTTTGATCCACTTTGCACCGTGCAATCTAAGGCACCCCCAGAAGTTGTTGGCATCAGCATCATTGGGCTTTCCTGCACTGTGAGGTCACCGCACTCCGCCAACGAAAAGATCGCAGCCCCCAGATTCAAAAATTGGTTAAGACTAGTTTAAGACTATCAGATAGAAAAAAACAGTGAAACAAATACCTGATTGGTGGTTTCAACCCCTCTGAAAAATATGAGTTCGTCAGTTGGGATTATTCTTCCCAATATATTATGGAAATTCATTCTTTCGCCATGTTCCAAACCACATCAAACCAGCAACCAGATAGAGATCTACAAATTTCACTGCGACGGGCCCTCCTTCAGCTTCATTGGAATCTCGCAGTTCCGGATGCGACACACACCAGACCTCGATGGTGTTCACTAAGATCCCGCCATGGAAAGATCCACCCATTTTTCATGGGAAAATCACCATTTTTCATGGGAAAATCACCAATTTTCTAGTCATTATATACCATAGTGATTTTCCATAGATATGGTGATTTTCCATAGATATGGTGATTACCATTAACATTACCATAGCTATAAATGGTGATGTTCCATAATTATATTAAATTACCAGAGCTACATCATCTATTTCTATGGGTCATGGCTAACAAATCGAAAAACTGTTAGTCATAACTCTAGAGCGTAGTTTTTTTTAGTGACACGTGGTGACGATATTTGCTTCATATTGGTGAATATGTGGTTGATAATGTTAATACTGATGAATATCTTGTTCAAACTGGTAAATAGTTGGTTCATACTGGTGAAGAACATGGCTAATATGGGATAGTGAATGGTGAATAGCAATCACTAGTTCATAGGCTGCATAGTTCAAATGAATCATGTTGTGCCCTTGTTTATTGATCGGTGATATATGCATCGGTGGTGATGGTGAATTGTCTTTTCAAATAGATACTGGTATACCTTCCCGTACTATCAGCTCTGCCAATCCCCGAGCCATTGGCATGTACCCTCTGGTAATTTAACATAGCTATTGAAAATGGCCATTTATAGTGGATTTACCCATTGAAAATGGTGATTTTCTATAGTTATGCTAGTTTACCAGAGGCCATACAGTATCAGTACGATGGGAAAATCATCGACAAAAACGGTGCTTCAAATGGGAGAATCATCGAAGCGCAGGGAATTGTCATGCCAAGAATTACTGGAGGATAAACCTTTCTATTGGTTTTTTTAAGGGATCTCCTAAGATATACTATCACATATATGACATATATTTCACTAGAAATACTGTAAGTGTGCCATCATTTGATGGCTTGAAGCATAATCCTTCAATGGCGGTATTACTCACCGACCATTTCACGGGATCTTCTATTTTTGGACATCATAAATGATAGGTACAGTTGCTATTGGGATTTATAATATCTATGTTTAAATATATGTATCTGATAATGTCAGAAAATGTCAGGCATTTTAAAATGTCAGAAAATGTCAGAACATATATCATTTTACCCTCTGGTAAATGTTTACATAACTATGGAAATTGGCCCATAGAAATAGTTGATCTAATCACCTAATCATGAACAGTACCTTCCAGTAAATTAACATAGACCCTGCCAAATAGGGGTTGGAAGATTAGTTTCCACTAAAGATTGGTGATTTTCAGGGTCTATGTTAATTTACCAGAGGGTAGATCATCCATTAAAACCTGGTGGTTGAGCCACCCCTCTGAAAAATGATGGAGTTAAAGTCAGTTGGCATGATGACATTCCCAACTGAATGGAAATTCAAAAAATTCCATGGTTCCAGTCACCACCAACCAGTGATTATTAACCATTATTAACCATCATTAACCATCATTATTACCCCATACTAAACCAATGTTCCAAACCACCAGGAAGTTGGGTTTACTCCAAAAAATACGGCACACAACAATTGACCACTTTTGACCGATGATTTTCGGAGGCCATCCAAAGCATCCCATGATATCAAGAAACAGCAGGAAGCTGATGGCTGATTTCAGCCATCATCATCCATCATCAACATTAAAATGATCATTAAAATGATCATAAATAATCATAAATGCATGGTTGACATCAACATATATCAACATGAAGCTCATTAAAAAATTCTCGAGAGACAGTTTTTGTTTCTGTCTCTGTCTGGGATGGCCCACCAGACACTGCCAAAGGTCGAGCTGTAGAGATTCCACCTGGCGTTTTGACAGATGGTTCAGGTTCATCCCTTGGGAATCATGGTAAATCCGAAAATCCAAGCGACCATGCGACGACTTTCTGGGCATGCGACCATAAATGGGGAGCCCCAAGCTCGCTGGATGGTTTTATCATGGAAAATCCGATAAAATGGATGATTTGGAGGTACCCCTATTTTAGGCAGAAAGGGAAACCCCCATATGTCACTTCAGTCACTTCTCCAACTCCAGGAACCTGCAAGAGGCTGCCTCTCCTTGAAATCGCCGCACAAATTGAAGATAATTTGAACATGGTTTTGTGCCCGAGCCGATACAACACACCAACATACACCAACGAGACGTCTTTCCGACGTCTTTCTGTCCTTCAGATTTCCCCACAGTTTTCCCAGGACCAGCTCCCAGCCTCTTTATCTTTGGCTCCGGGCCATAGGGCACGTTGCGAGGTGGGCACGCAGCGCAACCTGGGTGTCATCAAATTAGGCCCAGTTCGATATGTATGTCTCATGGAAATGCCAGTGAAATGCCCATGTTTTTGGGGGATTTAGTACTAGAATGTACTAGATCTAGTCACTAGTCATTCTGGTGGTATCTAATTTTTTCGGGGATGCTTGTGTAAGCGGGTCTATAGTTCGATGTATATCCAAAAAATGGGGCCTTGGCACCTGAAATCCACTCGCTCATCAGCAAATTTGATTTGATGAGTTTATGGGCATGAAATGGGGAATAAAAACATAGCGATTTGCAAACAAAAAGTAAGATAGAACAAATCATTTCTAGTATAGTAATAAATTGCAAAAACTCATCTTTTGGTATTGGATCCTATCGCAAAAACATATGACTATATATATAATATTTATCACCCATCTTCTTATAATCCATACACCAAGGAGCAAGAGCTGGAAGATCGCGCGCCAAAGCTCGGGAGACTCCAAACGGCCACTGGAAGCCTTTCGCATGTCACGTGTGACACATGGGTTTCTATACTAGAAATGAGGAAGTTGTCGTGCATGTGGGGTAGATGATGGGGTAGATGATGGTAGATGTTTCATATTTCTTCCATGTGGGTAATCTCGAGCCCCATCTGTTTCAGTGTTGTCGGATGTTTCTTGCTTAATTTATGTATGTGTGTCTCATGTTTGTGATAGAAAGAGGAGATTGAGAGTGACCTGCTGGAAGCGACATATTAAAAAAAAGCTGCCGATTGCTGGTTGGAATATTATCCAAGGATATCGCAACGTATGATACAGAAAAAAATATGGAAAACTGGTTGGTGGTTTTTCGCCACCCGAAAAATATGAGTTCGTCAGTTGGGATGATGACATTCCATATGGAAAGTCATAAAAGCCATGTTCCAAAGCACCAACCAGTGATTATTAACCATGATTAACCATCATTAACCATCATTACCCCATACATTTCACCAATGTTCCAGTCACCACCAACCAGATAAGAACGACAAGTTTTGAAGGTGAAGCGTCATCAAAAACTCCCCCAAAATGATCCTCCAGGTAGCACCAGTGCTTTATTCTTCGTGCCTGGATGAAACTCCTCACCACCTGGGACGCCGATGTTTTGTTTCAACAGCTGGGAAACAAGCCATAGCCTAATAGCTATTGAAAATGGTAGTTTCATCGTCCATTTATAGATGATTATGATTATATAATCTGATTTACCATGATTGACCCAAAATGGTGTGGCATTCCATAGCTATGTGAAAAATTACCAGGTACCCAAACTTTGGTTTTTTCGTTGCTGTAACCAACCCTCAGGAGCTGTGAAAGGCTACTGACAAGTGGAAATTGTCATAGCCAATCATTGGGTGTTTTTGATAAAGTAAGGTGGGAGAGCCTGGCTGCCATAAACCTACCATGGGGATGGTGAACATAGTAAATACCCTCTGGTAAACTAACAGTTTGCTATTGAAAACGGCCATTTATAGTGGATTTTCCCATTAAAAATGGTGATTTTCCATAGGTTATGTTAGTTTACCAGAGGGTATATGTAAATATACAAAACCCAATTTCAGAATGGTGATGACTTGTGGGATGGTGGCCGGGGTGGATCCCCATGGCATGCAGTCCCCAGAGGCTGCATCTGAAAGGATCCCCAATCTGACAGATACCCTGGCAAATGGCATAAATGTGTGGATTTAGTTGGTTGGTGTATATATATATATACAATTATATACATACATATACATATCGAGGATATATATATATATATTATCATTATATATCCCACCTTGAAATGGCAAAAAAAAAGGTCCTAGTGATTCGCGGCCCTTTCGATAGGCCTCCACCACGAGCTTGCAGTGTGGCACCAGCAAGTGTGGCTCAGCTTCGGTTCGGTTTACCAAGGCCTGACACGAGACCGGGATCCACACTTAATGCGTGAATCTTATGTGTATATATATATATATTTATATATATATATTTATACCATCTGGTTATTTAACAGTTCGCCATGGAAAATCCCCATTTTTAATAGGTAAACCATCTATTTCTATGGGCCATTTTCCATGGCTATGTTAAATAACCAGAGGGTATATATTATCCCAATAAAATGAATATGCCATATATCTGGGTCAGTTTTTTGATAGTTCACTAATCTGAAAATGTTGGGCCATTTGAGGATGATTTCCCTATTGTTTCCCCTACAAGTACTATGATTTACCGAGATATATGATCCCAATGGCTGGTATCTGCAGCGTATCTGCAGCCCTCGTCTTCGACTTTCGACCAAAAAAAAAGGATCGTCCCATCTGCTTCGACTGCACCAAGGGTTGGTCGATTTTATAGCAGGGTCACAAGAAAGACATAGAAAGATATGTTTTTCCAGGAAATCATAGATGAATATAGATGAACATAGATGATGGAAATAAAAAACAAAAAAACATTTTCCGGATGTCCGTAACTTCTATAAGAAAAATTCGGGGTTGCTGGATTTATCATTCCCAAGTTACAAGGAGGCCTCAACGAGTCGTACTGGCCAGCCAGTAGAGATGCCTGGCAGAGACACATCCAGCTGCCAATGGTATCTGAGGTTTTTCCACCTGAAAATGGTGAGGAAGTCAATGTCAAAATCAGAAAATTTACCCAAAAGTCAAACATGGCAATGGAGAATTACGTCCGTTGATAGATGATTTGACCATGTCATGTAAATGCAAAAAAAATACTCAATTTATAGGGGAATTCTCACTGCAATGTTTGATTGCTGAAGGGCATAATGATGTAATCAACAAAATTGGGGATTCATCGAAGTTCGCCACTTTTGTTGGGATGGGTCAAATTTGAAGACACCCACAGATTCATGGCCAAGTTAATTCATGTTGAGTATAAAACTCAGTAAACAACATCCCATGTTCAGGCTATTCAAGGTTAATTCCTAAACGGAAGGGAGAGGTCAAGTTGGAGTATGGAGCGGACATTGGCGAACAAATAAGCATGCAAAAAAAAAATGGTGATGAGAACCGCAAGGGTATGTGGCCCGAAATCTATGATGGACGAAGGGACGAACGGATTGGGTAATGACGACCCGCGTCTCCGTAGATTGGAGCATCCACGACATGAAAGGTCTTTGAATGGCCCCTTTGGATTTTAGTTCAGATTCTGATACACATATATCGCATATCACCATTTGACAATATATACACACATATGCATAACAGCATTATAACATGTATAATTATATATCATGCATATGTGTAACATACCTCTACCAAATTATGCATAGACATATTGAAACATACAATATCAACCAATATCATATATACACCCTAATATGATCTAATATGAATATGAACATTACACGTCCATACACGTACAATGGATACTACCTATGGTGATCCAATGCCGGTGGCCGCTCCCTCGCCTGCATCTTCCAAGGTCAGCAAAGATGAGCCGATCTGGGCAGGCCGAATCCAAAAACATCCAAAACCTCCAAGGAGGTGTCCGAAAATTCGGGTACCCCCTAAATATCCCTAAATGGGTATGGATCAATACCTAATACCATTTTTAATGGGATGAACATCCATTTACCAGCTATTTTGATGTGAACAGAAGGGGTACAAGGTTTTGACACACTGCCGAATAATATCCCAGATCATCCATTGTCGTTTAATGTCGTTTAATGTCGTTTAATGTTGTTTTGGAGTGTCCTTATTTCATAAAGCAGCTGTTGGGCAACCCCATGACTAGTCGCAGTGCGGGTCGTCGGTGCGCCTGGAAAATGGCCACGATGCTGAACTTCAGCGTTCGCTCGTTGAGGTCTTTCCGTCTCAACGTGTAGAGGATCCCCACCTGGTGGGTGGCAACGGCGCCGCGTTTTGAAGATTCCAAGGAAGTTCTTGAACGTATCACTATGACATTCTATGACTAGATTCGTAATTGCAAATACCCGGCACTTGGGGTTATAAGATGTTATACACATGCTGTTTGTTCATACTATTTTCCATCTGTTGGACACAGAAAAAAACAAAGAACAGTCGAAAAAATGGCACATTTTTTGCACTTCTTTGGGTGCCATGATGAAGCCATTGATTTTTAGTGGATGAATCCGGGTTTGTCAATGGGGAAAATGATGATGAACCAGTGGATTGGTGAACTAACATAGCTATTGAAAATGGCCATTTATAGTGGAATTTCCCATTAAAAATGGTGATTTTCCATAGCTATGTTAAATTACCAGAGGGTATATTGATGGCTGGTCATACCAACATCAACCAACAACCAACTAAATCTATCTAAATCTCGACTATAAGAGTATACAAAAGTGTGAAATCTGTATCTTGCATCCTGCCATGGTGTTTGCCAATTGTGGACGAGGCGGTCCAACAAATCTGGTTGCATCTCTGGGATGATCATCCCGATATATCCCGATGAGCAGATTTACGTCATGACGCTTGTGTCGCACAACAAATATCAACTGACTATCTGTAGGTATGATTTAGAAATTGGTGAGATATTGGTAAAATTTGATATATTGATGACAGATATTTTGAATATCAATATACATCTCTGTAGGTAAAGAAAAATGTGTTTCTAAAATTTGGTGAGATATTGGTAAAATCGACGAACCCCGACAAGAAAGAATTGGCGAGATGTATACCCATCATATCCCATCATATTCCCATCGTAGATATCCCCATGCTTGTTGATTAAATTTGGATCCAACTAGGTCCTATTTTGGACTATATCCCCACTTCATGATGCATAATTCGCTCTATTTACCTCCACTAAACCATAATAATCTCCATCAAATCGAACCACTCGGGTTTGAAATAGATTACCCCAAAATCACCTCCAGAATCCATTGGTTAATCATTAATTATCCCAATTTAAAATGTTCACTTGGGGATATACCATGATATACCCCATTTTCAGCCACATCCAAATATCATAACAACTTGATAATTAGTGATAATTATATATCCCATTAAGTGCCTTCCATCAAAAAAAAAACTCCCCAAAATCCATTGGTTAATATTGGTTAATCATCATCCCTATTTAAATGGCCAAGAACTGTTCTCAGTTTTTCAAATCCTTTCCCGCCCGCAACGGGTGCCCCCAACATGCGCGCAAACACTGAGTTCCTGCATCGACGGAACCTCCCATGGCACACTCCTCGGCCGCGAAAAGCTGGAATTTACAGCACCAATGAGGGATTTACCATGGCTTTGATCATATTTTATCCAGACATTTTGAGATGGATTGACATGGATTGATATGGATTGACATGGATTGACATGGATTGATATGGATTGATATGGAATGATATGGATTGATATGGATTGATATGGGTTGATATGGATTGATATGGATTGATATGGATTGATATGGGTTGATATGGATTGACATGGATTGATATGGAATCATATGGATTGATATGGATTGATATGGATTGATATGGGTTGATATGGATTGATATGGATTGAGATGGATTGACATGGGTTGATATGGATTGAGATGGATTGAGATGGATTGACATGGATTGATATGGGTTGATATGGATTGATATGGATTGTTATGGATTGACATGGAATGATATGGAATGACATGGATTGATACGGAATGATATGGAATGAAATGGAATGAAATGGAATGATATGGATTGATATGGATTGATATGGGTTGATATGGATTGATATGGATTGAGATGGATTGACATGGATTGATATGGGTTGATATGGATTGATATGGATTGAATATGGAATCATATGGTTGATATGGATTGAGAATGGTTGACATGGATGATATTTGGGTTGATATGGTTATAGGATTGACATGGATTTGATATGGGTTTGATTGGATTGGAATATGGAGTTGAACATGGATTGACATGGATTGCATTATGGATTGATCTGGATCATATGGATTGAATCTGATTGAGATGGATTGACATGGATTTGATATGGTTGATAGATTGATAGGATTGACAATGGATTGACATGGATTGATATGGAATTGATATGGAAAAATGATTTTGGATTGATATGGATTGATTGGGTTGATATGGATTATATGGATTCACATGGATGAAACATGGAATTGATATGTGATTGATATGGATTGGATATGGATTGATATGGTGGTTGATATGAATTGAGATGGATTGAGATTGAATGACATGGATTGATATGGGTTGATATGGATTGATTGGATTTGCCAGGTTATGGATTACATGGATTGCATAATGTAATTGATATGGAATGATATGGATTGATATGGATTGATATGGGTTGATATGGATTGATATGGATTGATATGGATTGATATGGGTTGATATGGATTGACATGGATTGATATGGAATCATATGGATTGATATGGATTGATATGGATTGATATGGGTTGATATGGATTGATATGGATTGAGATGGATTGACATGGGTTGATATGGATTGAGATGGATTGAGATGGATTGACATGGATTGATATGGGTTGATATGGATTGATATGGATTGTTATGGATTGACATGGAATGATATGGAATGACATGGATTGATACGGAATGATATGGAATGAAATGGAATGAAATGGAATGATATGGATTGATATGGATTGATATGGGTTGATATGGATTGATATGGATTGAGATGGATTGACATGGATTGATATGGGTTGATATGGATTGATATGGATTCACATGGATTGAGATGGATTGACATGGATTGATATGGGTTGATATGGATTGATATGGATTGACATGGATTGACATGGATTGATATGGATTCACATGGATTGACATGGATTGATATGGATTGATATGGATTGATATGGATTGATATGGGTTGATATGGATTGATATGGATTGAGATGGATTGATATGGATTGATATGGGTTGATATGGGTTGATATGGATTGACATGGATTGACATGGATTGATATGGATTGATATGGAATGATATGGATTGATATGGATTGATATGGGTTGATATGGATTGATATGGATTGATATGGATTGATATGGATTGATATGGATTGATATGGGTTGATATGGATTGATATGGATTGAGATGGATTGACATGGATTGATATGGGTTGATATGGATTGATATGGATTGACATGGATTGACATGGATTGATATGGATTGATATGGATTGATATGGATTGACATGGATTGACATGGATTGATATGGATTGATATGGAATGATATGGATTGATATGGATTGATATGGGTTGATATGGATTGATATGGATTGATATGGATTGACATGGATTGATATGGATTGAGATGGATTGACATGGATTGATATGGGTTGATATGGGTTGATATGGATTGACATGGATTGATATGGGTTGATATGGATTGATATGGATTGACATGGATTGACATGGATTGATATGGATTGATATGGAATCATATGGATTGATATGGATTGAGATGGATTGACATGGATTGATATGGGTTGATATGGATTGATATGGATTGACATGGATTGACATGGATTGATATGGATTGATATGGAATCATATGGATTGATATGGATTGAGATGGATTGACATGGATTGATATGGGTTGATATGGATTGATATGGATTTGATATGGATTGATATTGGATGATATGGATTCATTTGATATGGGTTGATATGGATTGATATGGATTTGAGATGGATTGGACAGGATTGTATGGGTTGATAGGATATATGGATTGGACATGGATTGACATGGACTGATATGGTTGATATGGAATGGATATGGATTGATATGGATTGATATGGGTTGATATGGATTGATATGGATTGATATGGATTGATATGGGTTGATATGGATTGACATGGATTGATATGGAATCATATGGATTGATATGGATTGATATGGATTGATATGGGTTGATATGGATTGATATGGATTGAGATGGATTGACATGGGTTGATATGGATTGATATGGATTGAGATGGATTGACATGGATTGATATGGGTTGATATGGATTGATATGGATTGTTATGGATTGACATGGATTGATATGGAATGACATGGATTGATACGGAATGATATGGAATGAAATGGAATGAAATGGAATGATATGGATTGATATGGATTGATATGGGTTGATATGGATTGATATGGATTGAGATGGATTGACATGGATTGATATGGGTTGATATGGATTGATATGGATTCACATGGATTGACATGGATTGATATGGATTGATATGGATTGATATGGATTGATATGGGTTGATATGGATTGATATGGATTGAGATGGATTGACATGGATTGATATGGGTTGATATGGATTGATATGGATTGACATGGATTGACATGGATTGATATGGATTGATATGGAATGATATGGATTGATATGGATTGATATGGGTTGATATGGATTGATATGGATTGATATGGATTGATATGGGTTGGTATGGATTGACATGGATTGATATGGAATCATATGGATTGATATGGGTTGATATGGATTGATATGGGTTGATATGGATTGATATGGATTGAGATGGATTGACATGGATTGATATGGATTGATATGGATTGAGATGGATTGACATGGATTGATATGGGTTGATATGGATTGATATGGATTGACATGGATTGACATGGATTGATATGGATTGATATGGATTGATATGGATTGATATGGGTTGATATGGATTGATATGGATTGATATGGATTGACATGGATTGATATGGGTTGATATGGATTGATATGGATTGACATGGATTGACATGGATTGATATGGATTGATATGGAATGATATGGATTGATATGGATTGATATGGGCTGATATGGATTGATATGGATTGATATGGATTGATATGGGTTGATATGGATTGACATGGATTGATATGGAATCATATGGATTGATATGGATTGATATGGATTGATATGGGTTGATATGGATTGATATGGATTGAGATGGATTGACATGGATTGATATGGATTGAGATGGATTGACATGGATTGATATGGGTTGATATGGATTGATATGGATTGACATGGATTGACATGGATTGATATGGATTGATATGGAATGATATGGATTGATATGGATTGATATGGGTTGATATGGATTGATATGGATTGATATGGATTGTTATGGATTGACATGGATTGATATGGATTGACATGGATTGATACGGAATGATATGGAATGAAATGGAATGATATGGAATGATATGGATTGATATGGATTGACATGGATTGATATGGATTGATATGGATTGACATGGATTGATATGGATTGATATGGGTTGATATGGATTGATATGGATTGACATGGATTGATATGGATTGATATGGAATGATATGGATTGATATGGATTGATATGGGTTGATATGGATTGATATGGATTGAGATGGATTGACATGGATTGATATGGGTTGATATGGATTGATATGGATTGACATGGATTGACATGGATTGATATGGGTTGATATGGATTGATATGGATTGACATGGATTGACATGGATTGATATGATTGATATGATATGGATTGATATGGGTTGATATGGATTGATATGGATTGAGATGGATTGACATGGATTGATATGGGTTGATATGGATTGATATGGATTGACATGGATTGACATGGATTGATATGGATTGATATGGAATCATATGGATTGATATGGATTGATATGGATTGATATGGGTTGATATGGATTGATATGGATTGAGATGGATTGACATGGATTGATATGGGTTGATATGGATTGAGATGGATTGATATGGATTGTTATGGATTGACATGGATTGATATGGAATGACATGGATTGATATGGGTTGATATGGATTGATATGGATTGACATGGATTGACATGGATTGATATGGATTGATATGGAATCATATGGATTGATATGGATTGATATGGATTGATATGGGTTGATATGGATTGATATGGATTGAGATGGATTGACATGGATTGATATGGGTTGATATGGATTGATATGGATTGATATGGATTGATATGGATTGATATGGATTGAGATGGATTGACATGGATTGATCTGGGTTGATATGGATTGATATGGATTGATGTGGATTGATATGGATTGATATGGGTTGATATGGATTGACATGGATTGATATGGAATCATATGGATTGATATGGATTGATATGGATTGATATGGGTTGATATGGATTGATATGGATTGAGATGGATTGACATGGGTTGATATGGAATGATATGGATTGAGATGGATTGACATGGATTGATATGGATTGATATGGATTGATATGGATTGTCATGGATTGACATGGATTGATATGGATTGACATGGATTGATACGGAATGATATGGAATGAAATGGAATGAAATGGAATGATATGGAATGATATGGATTGATATGGATTGACATGGATTGATATGGATTGATATGGGTTGATATGGATTGATTTGGAATTACATGGAATGAAATGGAATGATATGGATTGATATGGATTGGCATGGATTGATACGGAATGATATGGAATGAAATGGAATGATATGGATTGACATGGAATGATATGGAATGATATGGGTTGATATGGATTGATATGGATTGATGTGGAATGATATGGCATGATATGGAATGCTATGGATTTGTCTAAGGGAGTTTGACTACAGTAAACCCTGTTTTTTTCATTCTGTGTATCATTCTGAGGGGTTCCTTTGAGACCATCCTTTGGCACTGATGGCACTAGTTGACTGTGATTTCTCCATGTTTCTCTGATGTGGTACCCCAAAATGTCATGCTTAATCATCATGAAACATGGAGAAACCAGTACAGAGAGACCAGTACTAATCATCATGTTGTCCATTCACTGTACAATTTCATGGATATCGCCCATGTTCAGACAGCTCCATGAACACCCATCTCCCGGCTCCCTATCGATGGCTCTCCATCGATGGCTCTCCGAAGCCCCATTTTTCGGACAAGATGCTTGGCGCTGCGATGGCCCACGGTCATCAATAAGAGCCTCCATAATTTGATCGTAGGATATGATCCTTGTGGATCTTGTGGTTGTTCAAGCTACTGCCAGTCTTCACAACAAGAAACAAGCGGGGTCCTGTAGTAAAAATGGTGAAGTAGTGGAATTTAATAGGATATTTCATGAGGATGGAATGGGATGTATTGTGCAAACCCACTTGGGGCTGAAGTTGTTAATAGATATGTCATGATATTTCACCATGTTTTTTTTTCCGCCCCATCAGTTGGGGCTACTTCGGGGGCAGGACTTGGAGGAAACAACAATGAATATGAACTGCTTGGTGGTGCAATGTGCCCATCTTGAAAAATGATGGACTTCGTCAATGGGAAGGATGACATCCCATATGTGAAATGGAAAATCCGCCGACCCCGGCCTTAGCCAAGGCAGGGGCGGCGCCTGGGACCACCTCAGGTGTGGAACTTGTCTTTCTTAGCAACAACCCCAAGGCCAGATCCATGGTTTCTTCTCAGCGCGGTCCACGCCAACAGGCACCCCAAGGCCACAACAATGGCTTCTTAGGCTTCTTATGGGCGTCCAAGCCTGCCGTTTGCCAGCCTTTAAACCCCTAAAACCCCTAAAGCCCTTAAAACCGTTAAAACTCTGCCACAGCGTATGGGACGCCCAACCGCGCAGCTTAAAACCGTTAAAACTCTGTCCAAGCGTCTGGGATGCCCAACCGTGCAGGCATAAGCTACCCCAAGCCAGATCCATCGTTTCTTCTCAGCGCGGTCCACGCCAACAGGCACCCCAAGGCCACAACAATGGCTTCTTAGGCTTCTTATGGGCGTCCAAGCCTGCCGTTTGCCAGCCCTTAAACCCCTAAAACCCCTAAAACCCTTCAAACCGTTAAAAGTCTGCCACAGCGTATGGGACGCCCAACCGCGCAGCTTAAAACCGTTAAAACTCTGTCCAAGCGTATGGGATGCCCAACCGCGCAGGCATAAGCTACCCCAAGGCCAGATCCATCGTTTCTTCTCAGCGCGGTCCACGCCAACAGGCACCCCAAGGCCACAACAATGGCTTTTTAGGCTTCTTATGGGCGTCCAAGCCTGCCGTTTGCCAGCCCTTAAACCCCTAAAACCCCTAAAACGCCTAAAACCCCTAAAACCCTTAAAACTGTTGAAACTCTGCCTCAGCGTATGGGACGCCCAATCGCGCAGCTTAAAACCGTTAAAACTCTGTCCAAGCGTCTGGGATGCCCAACCGCGCAGGCATAAGCTACCCCAAGGCCAGATCCATCGTTTCTTCTCAGCGCGGGCCATGCCAACAGGCACCCCAAGGCCACAACAATGGCTTCTTAGGCTTCTTATGGGCGTCCAAGCCTGCCGTTTGCCAGCCCTTAAACCCCTAAAACCCCTAAAACCCTTAAAACCGTTAAAACTCTGCCACAGCGTATGGGACGCCCAACCGCGCAGCTTAAAGCCGTTACAACTCTGTCCAAGCGTATGGGATGCCCAACCGCGCAGGCATAAGCTACCCCAAGGCCAGATCCATCGTTTCTTCTCAGCGCGGTCCACGCCAACAGGCACCCCAAGGCCACAACAATGGCTTCTTAGGCTTCTTATGGGCGTCCAAGCCTGCCGTTCGCCAGCCCTTAAACCCCTAAAACCCCTAAAACGCCTAAAACCCCTAAAACCCTTCAAACCGTTAAAAGTCTGCCACAGCGTATGGGACGCCCAACCGCGCAGCTTAAAACCGTTAAAACTCTGTCCAAGCGTATGGGATGCCCAACCGCGCAGGCATAAGCTACCCCAAGGCCAGATCCATCGTTTCTTCTCAGCGCGGTCCATGCCAACAGGCACCCCAAGGCCACAACAATGGCTTCTTAGGCTTCTTATGGGCGTCGAAGCCTGCCGTTTGCCAGCCCTTAAACCCCTAAAACGCCTAAAACGCCTAAAACCCCTAAAACCCTTAAAACTGTTGAAACTCTGCCACAGCGTATGGGACGCCCAACCGCGCAGCTTAAAACCGTTAAAACTCTGTCCAAGCGTCTGGGATGCCCAACCGCGCAGGCATAAGCTACCCCAAGGCCAGATAAGCTACCCCAAGGCCAGATCCATCGTTTCTTCTCAGCGCGGTCCACGCCAACAGGCACCCCAAGGCCACAACAATGGCTTCTTAGGCTTCTTATGGGCGTCCAAGCCTGCCGTTTGCCAGCCCTTAAACCCCTAAAACCCCTAAAACCCCTAAAACGCCTAAAACGCCTAAAACCCCTAAAACCCTTCAAACCGTTAAAAGTCTGCCACAGCGTATGGGACGCCCAACCGCGCAGCTTAAAACCGTTAAAACTCTGTCCAAGCGTATGGGATGCCCAACCGCGCAGGCATAAGCTACCCCAAGGCCAGATCCATCGTTTCTTCTCAGCGCGGTCCATGCCAACAGGCACCCCAAGACCACAACAATGGCTTCTTAGGCTTCTTATGGGCGTCCAAGCCTGCCGTTTGCCAGCCTTTAAACCCCTAAAACCCCTAAAACCCTTAAAACCGTTAAAACTCTGCCGTTTCCCAATGATCCCAGAAGAGAAATTCAATAGCCGACCGACGGGCCGCTAAATGGCAGAAAGTTGCTCCCATGCTTCCCCGTAACCTCGCGTAGCCAACTGCCACCTCCCTCCCATACAGAGACAGGCACAGACACAGACAGACAGACACACAGCACTGTACACTTTACACTCTACACATTACACTCTACACTTTACACTCCACGCTCCACAGTCTACACTTTACACTCTACACTTTACACTCTACACTTTACACTCTACACTTGACACACTACACTTTACACTAGACACTCTTCACTCTACACTCCATACATTACACTTTACAATTTACACTCCTCACTCCTCACTGCACACTTTGCACGCCACACTCCACACTTTGCACTCCGCACTCTACACTTTACACTCTACACTTGACACTCTACACTCCACTCCACACTTTGCACTTTACACTTTACACTCCACACTCCACACTTGACAATCAACACTCCACACTCCACACTCTATACTTTACACACTACACGTTACACTCTACACTCTTCACTCGACACTCCATACTTTACAAGTTACACTTTACACTCCTCACTGCTCACTGCACACTTTACACTCCACACTCCACACTCTACACTCTACACTTTACACTCCCCCTCGCAGCAGCTTCCACCAAGCCCTGCTGTAAGCTCTTGCTGTTCCAGCGTTGCAGCCTGCCGTTTGCCTCCTTCCAGAAGGTGATGCCGCCGAAGAGGTGGCAAAGGAGAGTTGCATGGGCCACGGTGACTGTGGGAACTTCGGGTGGCTTCTACATGATGGCCTATAAACTTACACTATATCTTATTTGGGCTTTTATGGAACTTGCCCTGACTATCTTCTTGCTCCCATATTTTTCTCTTAGAATCTTAGAGCCTCCCAAAGGTTGAATGCGCTGATCGATGTGGGAAGATTGCTGCAATGGTCTCTAAGCTTCGCAAAAAAAGAATCTTGATAGCAACGTATTATTTGTCTTTCCTGAGCATAAGTGGGCGGACAGTTTAAGGATGCATCAGCCCAGAATGGCTGCCGGGCAATTCACTTGTTACTAGAAAAGACCACTGGATGCCAGGTGCCCCTCAATATCCATCCGTCCATCCGTCCATCCATCCATCCATCCATCTATCTATCTATCTCTCTATCTCTCTATCTCTCTACAGGACCCCCCAAATAGGGGGGGTCGGCGGCACCAGGGCGCTAGCCCATTCTATAAACATGTTTGAAACCACCAACCAGAAGTTTTGCTAGATACATCATGATCATCATGACTCACTGTTGGCAGGAAACGAGGTCAACTGTGACCCCAAAAAGCACTCGATGATTGTCAATCCTACCAGCCATCCAATGGTGGCTAGGAAAAATGTTCACCCCATTTCACAGGTTCAACCAACCATCATTTATCAATCAAACATCCCGATATGTTGTATGGTTAATGGTTATGATGTTATGTATGCGCGAAGTATGTATGCCTCAATCCCGTTGTTTCAGTCCAATCAAGAGCCTACAATCATCATCCAACAATGTTTTTCAACTATATCCCAATTTTTTTAGTGGGAAACCCGTACATGGTGGGCCCCCCAGTTTTGTTTGTTGCTTTATGTTCACCCCATCAACCAGTTCGATATACACCATCAACTCAACAATGAAATTGGAGTTATAAACCCACCCACTTACCCTCTGGTAAGCAAACATAGCAAATGGAAAATTCACCAATTTATATGATTTTTCCATTTATCCCGTTATAGATTTAATCTAGGTTTTCCATAATAAAACCATCCATAAAAATCCATGTAAAACCCATCCATAAAAATCCATTAATCATTAAAACCTCCATTTAAAAAGGGGATTTTCTCCCACCTTGTATGGTCCTATCCCCCACTCATATTGAACACCCCCATTCTGTCCCAAGCCCCAACTCTAGTGTAAATCCCTCACAAAAAGAAAAAACAAAAGTTTTCGTTTGGGGTTGTTTAAGATTGGAACCGGGGAAAGGATGATTGGTTCTGGTAAGACCTTGCATTCTCCCATGTCTTCCCCAATTTGTCCCAGATCTTCATAGATTTTCAACATGACCTTCGGGGTTTCTGTAGTTCTTCATCAGGCCATATCAGGAGGTACCTACCATGTATAAGGCCTATGTCCCCACAAAATATGGCCAAAAATATGGTACTAACGTACCTCCATCTGTTCGGATCCTGAAGATCTCCCAGTGATATCAGGCCTTGTGGCCAGGCGCAAAGTATCATAACTATCCAAGATATTCAGCTGCAGCGTTCGCTTCGGCAGCTGCAAGGTTTGCGGGATCTCAGCATGGGTTTGCGGAGACCGTCGGAATGAAGATCTATGTTAGGGGGTTTGCATAGTCATGGGGCTATCCAAAAATGGTTGGTTATAATGTGAAATCCCATTAAAATTGATGATTTGGGGGTACCCCTATTTTAGGAAACCTCCATATCTGAAATTATCCAAAGGGATACTAAAACAGTGTACTTGTGTTGGCGTCTTGTGGGCGTATCTTCCAAAGCTGCATTTTGTTCCGAACAAATGGTGGCTAATATGTGTATAGTCATCGCCGAATAGATAGAAAAGTATAGAAAAGTGAATGATAAAGTATAGAAAAGTATAGAAAAGTATAGAAAAGTGGACGTCACTTTTCATTCTTTTTTGGTGACCCAAAAAACTGGATCTGTCCGTTGGATCGGCGGATTTGGAGATCCACTGGGCTCTGCACGCCGAGGCTGGACGCATCCTGTGGCCAAAAGGGCAGATCCTCCTTGCCTGGCGAAGAGGGAAAATGAACATGTATGTATAGTATATATATATATATTTACTATATTATATTCATACATATTCATATACATATATAATCATATATGTATATATATATTATAAATTGTAGATATCCAAGCAGTTCAAAACCAGTTTCAAGGCACCCGAGCGCATGCGCCTGGCCTGGCTTGCCACCCGATCGCAAGGCTAAGAACAGCGAAGAGAGGTAGCAAAGGAACAGCCTGGCATCAGCCATGGGGGGTTCCTCAAAATATGGCTAATATGTTGTTAGTATGGTTACCCTCTGGGAATTCAACATAACTGTGGAAAATCACCATTTATAGTGATGTTTTCCATGAAAAATGGTGATTTTCCATAGTTATGTTAGTTTACCAGAGGGTAATATATGCTTAATGATGGTTAATAATGGGAGATAATGGATTTCCATAGTCATGGGGATACCCCAATGAACGAGTGGTGATTGGGGGTACCCCCATTTTGGGAAACCTCCAAATGGCCAAACAAACAGGATGATTATTGAGTCAATGGAATACATAGCAAACCCCAAAAAGGTAGAAGAGTAATTTACACTAGTTTTAGCACCTAGGATTTTACGTGTCAATCTTTTTGGTGTTACTATATATATATATAAAACTGTTCCTTTGCGCATATAAGAGGATCATATCTCTTCAAATATTACATCTAGACATACAGATGGAGGTTTCCTAAGTCATAGGGTCCCCCCAAATCATCCATTCGAATGAGATTTCCCACTATAAACCATCTAGCTATTGGGGTACCCCTATGACTATGGAAACCCCCCTAACATAGATCCATATAGCAGGGTAATGTAAGAGCCCATGGGATCATCCACAGGGGGAAAATATTTTCTATGCAAAATGACATGACTAAGTGACTAGGCAGAACAAGCACATCTCAGTGAACAAAAAAAGGGACCGCAAAGGTATCCATCAAACGTTTTTTGGGTCACTTCACATGGCTACCATGTCAACCAAGGCTGGTCTAAATCGCCATGCTTGATTGCGATTTAGGCAAAAAATGAAGCCGTCAGCTCCACCAAAAATCATGGTCCTGTGAAGAAAAACCATGCGCTAATCGCTGCTGAATCATTTGAGCTCATATCTATGTGAACATGTATCACTGCGCATATATACGTAGATTTATAAATGATTTATATGTCTATACACATATGAGTAGCGGACACAACTATATGTTAAATGTAATGCCATGCACAAATTAGGGTCGTCCCCTATCGGTTGTGAGGATTTCAGTATTCCCAGAGGTATCACAAATGGGGTATCGGTATAGGGTCGTCCCCTATTGGTTATGAAGGTTTCGTGGAACCTCGGAAAGGCCAAGGCGAAGCAAGACGAAATTAGTATTACAATAATGTTGTCGATTACTCATATGTATATAATTGTATATATATAGTGTATACTGTAATGTATGTTATATATCTATACCTATATATTATATGTATACACATATTATGTATAAATTATGTAAATACGATTGCACTAAGTATACGTATATACTTAGTATAGCATAAATATCCTCTGGTTATTTGACCTAGCTATGGAAAATGGCCCATTATAGATGGTTTATGATGATTCAACTAAAATTGTTGATTTTCCTACATATATTTAACAATAACTAGTTATTTCTTAAAATGGTTTATGATGATTTAACTAGATGGTTTGGAAACTGTTAAATAACCAGAAGGTATACATCATGCCCTGCAAAACAAAACATCCTCGCCCTGCAACTCTGCCAATGCTACTGGATGTTTGAAGAGGCTGAAGTCACCTCGGTTACCTCAGAGAAACCAAGGAGCTGGGCGCGGGGGTCGCTGGGCCCTTGGTCCCTTTGGGGCCAAGAAGTCCCAACGGGACGGTGTTTTACCACTGGATTGGATCATGAAACCATCTGAAACGGAAACCCATATTGTCGTATGATGCACCAGTTCTATACTGGGTGAAAAACGAAAGCATAGAAGAAAGGCCTTCATGAAAATCACCAGAATCGGAGATTGAAATGAATTGAACACTGCGAATGGATGCGGATCAGCAGTTCTTGTGACATATTGAAAGAGCGATCTCAGCATTGGACAGTCGCATTGCCTGGAAAAGGCGAAGCAGGGTCTGGAACCATAGTGGGCTACCCCAATAGATGGACAGTAAAGATAGTAAAGGAACTTCCTATGGATGATCTGGAAATATCTGGAATCTGATACCCATATTTTAGGGAAGCCCCCATATCAATCTGGTGGATCATTTCCATTTGTATCACATGGCGACTGGTGACATGATGTGAAATGCACCAAAAGTCCATCTGTCACTTGGGCGACTGATTCGACCCTAAAGAGTCCACCCAAGTGCTTCTGAGTCGAGAAAAGGGTACCCAAAAAAATGACATGGTCACCGTTGATCATCATTTTCTCATCATTATTTTTGCATGTTCTTGGGGCGATGTTGGGGTATACCGGGGCCAAATGTCACATTATTGGCTGGGTATATATTTTATATTTATATATACCATTATTAAATCCCAGTACAAGTACATCCCACTCTATCCCCATTAATAACCGTATTGATACGGTAAATACCGATACAGATGGCAGATTTTATGGAACAGCAACCATTTTTACCGACACAGAAACGCCCTCCGGAAAATCAGACGTGGCTTAAGCTGGATCTGTCTGATTCCAGGGTTTCCTAGAAAATCGATTGTTTGGGGGACCCGGACCCTCCATGGTTTCAGTCAAATGATATGCGGGGCTGGGGGTTGAAACATCTATATATCTGGGTAAATTATAATATTTCACTAACCTGAATAGCTCGGCCATTTGGGGATGATTTCCCTTATTAACTATGATTCCAGTGAGGTCGCAGTGAGGTCGTTATAATTTACCCAGATATACATATATATATTATACATGGATGTGGGTCAAAACCCTGTACCCCAAGTGAACCTCAAGGTTGATGGTCATCCCTTATACCACATGATTAGTAGGTTTTGACCCATACCCATATTTATATTTGATGGTTAACCCACAACTGATGGTTTCTCCATCGAAATCCTATGAAACTCACGGATTCTTGTGCCGTTTCGGACAGAAGGACACCTCCATCATCATTCAGCCTGCCACTGCCAGCACCAGCCTTGGGCGACAACGGGGTTAGTACTTGGAGCATCCCAATGAGAAAGTTGTTAATAACCCTGGTTTTTAATCAGTTATGTCTAACAGTTAGTAAATGTCAGGGCTTATTAACCACTTACTAACAGTTCTTGAGTCACCGTGTTGTGGATAAAATCCCTTGGATGATCCCCCAGGATGAATCCTGGTTTAGTCTCGGATGCCTTGCAATATGGGGAGAGCTTTGGGGGTCTTTCAATATTGGGGACAGGATTCGTTGTTGGTGTAAAAATAAATTCCCACAGAAAAAAAACAATTTATAGCTCCTAAAATTGCCAATTTTGTAGGTCCGCTGCTACCCCAGAGTTGACCAAAACCATCATGATTAGGTGAGATAGTATGGTGCAACAGCCAACGTTCATTGGATTTACATAATGCCTAGATCACTAATAACCAGCATGATACCCCACCAAAATGGTTTTCAAGAAAAATATCTATCCCTAGTCTTCGAGGTTGAAGTTTAACATATTGTCGAAATACTATGTTTGACCTGGCAAAACATCGTATTTCTTCCATAGCATGTTTGGCCATGTTTAAAGGGCTCCTCGTGCTCTAGGCAACAATTTGTGGAATGTGACGTGTCGATTGTCCCATGGTTTATAAAACCCAGCTGGAATGAGTTGGTTTGAAATACTGACAGTACCCTTGAATTTTGTGTTGGGAGTCTGATTTGTAGAACTGCTGGCCACAATCTTCAATCCCGCTTCCCGGTTACGTGCACAGAATTAAGGACTCTTACTACCAAATTGCTCCAGAAGTGATTCTTGTGGTATCTTGTGGTTATGTAAAAATCGTAACGACTTGAAAACATACCATGTTGAACATCGCATTTAAGGATGCATTTTTTCAGCTGGATTTCTATGGAATTTCTGCTGTCCAGTCCATCTTTTCGTTGAAACCTCCGGGAATTCCATCCCCGAAACGAATCGGTGTCTGGGACTTCGCTGCATCACCTCCTCCACAGGTTGCTTTGATCCTGCGACACGCTTAGCGTGTCGGGGCATCATCGCGCCCTGAAAATATCAACCATGATTGGCGAATATTCACCATACATAAGTCGTAGAATATACAACTTATATAAGCCATAATATGTTGTTCACCGTATATAACATATATTAACATTAATATTAACATTAATATTAACCATAATCCATGTAGCATGGCCCATGGCCTTTTTGGAATTTCCATGAGAATCTGCACTGAGGCGGTGCATTGTTCGCTTTTTTACCTAGTTACTGTAGAAAACTTTATGATGATCCGAAATCGAGGTATACCCAAAGCCATAAACCCCCCCCCAAAAAAAAACGGGTGCGGAATTCTTTTGGGAATTATGTGTTTCCGTTTTGGTGATTTTTTTGGGGATCTGCTTTTCTGCCCGTTTTCCTTGCTATTTTGCAGCATTTTGGAGCTGGAAACCGCCATTTCAACTGTCTTTGCAAAATTTTGGAGTTGGAACCACTCATTTTCCATAGAATTTGCAACATGTTGGTGGAATTAGTAACATTTTGGAGCTGGAAGCTGCTGTTTCAAGGGTATTTGCAGCATTTTTGAGTTCGAACCTCTCATTTTCAATGGAATTTGCAACATTTAGGTGCTCGAACTGTTCATGTAACATGGTAGTTCTCGACTAGGGTTCATTTGGGGTTGGTTTTAGGGTTAGTTTAGTGTTTTAGAGTTAAGGTTTATGTAGGATTTGTTTAAGGATTGGTTTAGGATCTTTTTAGGGTTTGTTTAGGCTTGGTTTGACCTATGTGTGGTTGGTTTAGGATCCATTTAGAGTTGGTGCCGGACCTATTCAGGATTGGTTTAAGGTGTGTTTAGCAAGATTTATTTAGGTCTGGTTTAAGATCTATGTAGGGTTGGTGTAAGGTTTATTTAGGACTACATTCAAAATATTTCAAAATTATTTAGGGACTGTTTAGGGCTTACTTAGAGTTGCTTTAGTGTTTCTTTGATTGGTTTGTTTTTTTCTTGTTGAATTTGGGTTTATTTATTTATATTTATATGAATTTATATGATGTTTCTTAAGGATTCTCTGCAGTATGAGAAACAAAAAAAAGGGAAAAACAGAGAAGCAGAAAAGCAAAGAAGCAGGGAAAAGCAGAAAGCAGAGAAGCAAAGAAGCTGGAAAAGCAGAAAAGCAGGGAAAAGCAGAAAAGCGGAGAGGCAGAGAAGCGGAGAAGCGAAGAAGCAGAGAAGCAGAAAAGTGGAGAAGCAGAGAATCAAAGAACTATAAAAGCAGAGAAGCAAGGAAAAACAAAATAGCAAAAAGCAGAGAAGCTAAAAAGAAAAGAAGCAGAGAAACAGAAATCCAAAAAAAATGCCGAAAACGGAAAAAAATAATTCCCAAAATGAATAGCCATTGTTTCCCATCTTTTTAACAGCAAAAACATGAATGAAACTCTCCATTCAGGGTTGCCATCTGCCCTTGGCTTCTCCTGGGTGATGGTGTTGGTGTCCGAGAGACCTGGGAAACATGGGGCCGACTGAGCGCTAGTTGATGCTAGGTGTGTCTGACTGCGGGTATATCATATACCCACCATTTACATTATATATTCATCATTATTCTATATTCTATCTGGCCGAATTATGATTCATCAAGCAGAAAATCACTGAAATCTTCGGTCATTTGGGGATGATTCCCTTTACTAAACCAATCATTCATAATCACTAATTAATTGATGATCCATGTCGCCTCTGGTTATTTAGCCATGGGAAGCCATGGCCCATAGAAAAACATGATCTATCATAGAGATGTATCGATTTACCCGTTCTCAAAATTCTGATTCCCCATCAGAAGATATATTCCATTTATGGCCATGTAATGGGGCTGATATGATCATCCAGATGGACATGCTGATCAAAACAGCGAGAAAGGATACGTTTGTCAAAGTGGAATAGCGATCACAAACGGGCAAACGGGGTACATATATATATATATACATATGTATGTATGTATATATATATATACACATATGTATACAGTATATATATATATGCAATTTTGGACCAACCAAATGGCTGCCTCTTTTGGGGGGTTATCCCATCCGATCCGAAAATATTGTTCCTTCAAAGCATCTTAGACCCGATCAAACCATCATAGCATATTTTGAACCATCGCATTGGAACATATGAAACCACATCATATCAGTCTTAAATAAATGAAACCATCATGTTAATAGTATTTTGATAACCACTATTGACATCTATTAACATCTATTAACCCTGATATAAACCCATTGTTTCCTCACCAATTTTTAAAGTTCCTATCATCCAACAGGCGCGGCGGCGCCTGAAGCCATGGATCCAGCATGACCTTCAAGAAGTGGTCCAAGTCGGAGGCCTCCGCTGTCATGAGAAAAATGTGGAAGTTTTTCCTGATATAGATATAGACATATTAGGTACAGATATATATATATATATATGTATGTATATATATATATGTATATATATATGCACCTATGAATATATATATATATATATATGTGTGTGTGTTCTTCATGATGTGTGTTTTTGCTTTAGTGATTGGGTTGCTGGATTTGCATGTCACAGTTCTGAACTTGCGGCCGATGTTCATCTTCCATGGAAAAATCATGGAAGAAAAACCATGATGTTTCCATGTCCATGCTGTAGATCCATGGTTTCCATTGGTTTCCTGCCGTTTCTTGTGCTTTTTGGACCCGCTTTTTGGGGACCCAAAGAGCCGTTTGTTGGGCCTCGAAGAGCCGTTGGATCTGCGGTTTCATCGGATCCTTCTGCAGAAAGCCCTCAGAGTCTGGCTCCTGGCGATGGATGATGGGAGAAGATGCTCAACAGATGGATATGATGATGGGATATCATATATATATATATGTATAGTAATGTATATATATATATATGTATATCATATATATATCATATATATATATATACATATATATCAGATATACATATATATATATGTGTATTATATGTATTCAATGGGATTCATAATCGGACATATATATATATGGATAGATGCGGTGGGATTTAATACATAATGACTATGATAATAATATGAATACACATGGGAGATGATTCATTGGATTGGTTTGAGTTTAAGGGGAAATCGAAACTGGAAACCATTGTTTTTACGAAGTCTTCGGGGTATGTATATATATATATATATGTGTGTTCTGTATAGATATACCTGTATATTCATCTAATCAATGTAATGACATGTAAGAAACTATGGATTAGCATTGAATCTACTAATTAGTGGCAAACTGGGAAAGAATGGGATGTTCCAGGATGAAATCAGACATAATGGGATAAAAAGGGGCATAATGGGATGCGGGATGCATATATATATATATATGTCCAACAAAATGGGATAGAATAATCATGTGATATATATATACGGACATATATGGACATATCATCTGGGATATATTTATTGGTGATATTCTCTTTGGGATAGTTTAAGCAAGAAAATAAGAGGAGAGAATGGGATTGGATACTTTAAAAAATCTAGTGGGATAAAAAAAAAAACGTAGGCATCATGGGAGATAGTGTAATGCGGGGAGAGAATGGGATATATAAACAATATACAGTAATGGGATGTTGTTGATGGGATACAATGAGATCTGATATTTTGGTATACCGGGATGGGATATTCTGGAAGATGCTGGAATATATAACCAAGTTGTGATATCTGGGTCCACCAGAGATCTTTTTGATTCGTAGCCCTGGGAGAAAACTTTGGATGATTGGTCCCCATTTTGCACCAACAGATCCCCAGTCACATATGATTAATTGTCCTGAAATATGCTACTCTACCCCCAAGATGCCCATGTTGATTGGAAGAAAAAAAGAAAGAATCACTGGATCTTTGACCATTTTCTTGAACCATGGCCCCACATTGGAGGCATGGAAAACTTCTTATCCCAATCACTTAGCAGCAACCAGCTTCATGGTGCACCGGTGATGAGCATACACGGTATACAACAGAAATTCTGATCGATGTGTTTTTCTACATGTTACATGTGTATACCCTAGCTATAGTAGAGGTTTCTCTGGCACATCATTGGGGAGAAACCGGTTTCTACGGAGATAGCTCCACCAGCTCAAGGGTCGACATCTATGAATTCTCTTCAGCTCTTCGTCATGCAGTGTTTTATGTACATATTGTACATAGTTCCATACATATCTGGTTGGTGGTATACCTACCCCTCTGCAAAAATATGAGTTCGTCAGTTGGGATGATGCCATTCCCAATATATGGAAAATCATAAAATTCATGTTCCAAACCACCAACTAGATATGTATAGAATTGTATATATATAATATATGAATTGGATCTTTCCCCATATATAGTACATACTGCCATAATAGAAGATATGAAATAGTAAAGAAACATAGAAGATGCAAAATTGGGGGTGTAAAATCAACAAAACAGATAGAAGATACTCCTTGTCGCAAAGGGTCCTCCAAGAGCCGGTCTCGAGGGTTATTTAGTGTCCTTTTTTAAGTTTTAACCCACAGACCTTCTGACATACCAGGGCACTGAAACACTGGTATTTGCAGTGTTTTCACATTTCCAGGTCAAATAGAAGATACTAGAAAAAATCAAATCCGCACAGAGGTCCTCCCCCGGAGGAGGACCATCTGCGACGGACCCTTTTTTGGACTTCTTCTGAAAAAAACGCAAAAAACCTCAGTTTTTTTGTTTTTTTTGGGCGTGATGTTAGCCACAAACCACGAAGAAGATTGCCAAATCACGAAGGACAAACCCAGTATTTTCACAGTGGGTTCTTTGATGATCAAATAATGACGGGTGTTCCATGGCCACATGTGTTCACAATGTTTATGGCCAGCCCATGGTGAAGTTCAATCGACTGGACCTTCAAGTTAAATATTCAACATACCAGTAGTACCGCGCGAGGCGGTGGCGGAAGTTTGCAACAAAGCGCAGGGTGAACAATCGACGCACTGAACGACTTCAGGAGCTTCGGTGCGCCTAGTCCTTGTCTTGTGTCTATGCGATCGAAAGGATTTCAGCTATCTTTTCTGTGTGTCTACCCGGCTGTCTATCTATCTGATCCATCCATTTGACCCATCTACCTATCTACCGATCGATCTATCTATCGATCTATCTATCGATCTGCCGGCCCTCTGACCTAACTGTCCCCGTATCTGACTGATCTACCTACCTGCTCCATCTCTCCCTATCGATCTATCTGATCTTTTTTATCTATCTGATCTATGTGTCTGTCTGCCTGTCTGTCTGGGTGCGTGCCTGCGCGCCTGCCTTGTCATCTGACCTGATCTGTTTTATCTATCTGATCTGTTTGCCTGTCTATCTATCTATCTATCTATCTATCTGTCGGTCTGTCTGTCTGTCTGTCTGTCTGGTTTATTCGTCTTTCTGTGAATCTACCTATCTGTTCTGCCACTGTTTTTTCGACCTATCTGATCTATCTGTCCGTCTGTCTATTTGTTTACCTGATCTGATCTTGGCAAAGTAGCACGGCTGCCTTTTGGCCTTCTCGAGCCACTGGTCATCACGTGTTGTGACATGCGTCTCTGCCATGCATGTGCGGTGTCATCCAATCCAGCAGGGGCCACGCTAAATCTTCACAGATCTACCTATGCTTCTACCTTTTTGACCAATCAATTTATTTGTATGGTGTATCCATCTGTCTGTTTCTCTGTCCATCTGTTTGTCTACCTGGCTGATCGATCATCTGTCTGATCTAGACAAGCTATCTAATCCAGCTCGGCTATCTCGGGCAGCAATTCTGCGAGACCCTCCAGCGCCAACCCCACTCGCCTCCTTCACTCGAGGAAGTCTGCCGGCACCCACATGGCCTCGAATGGGTGGCGCTGGGCCTGCGCCCACCCTTCGGCCGTGATGGCCATCACTGCCATGTGGGTGCCGGTAGGCAGGCCGCCAAAGTCCTCCGCCAAGACCAGGAGAGGGGAGTAGGATTTCCACCTCTCTGTGCAAGAAGGACCAGGTCCTCTGCACAGGAGCCTTCCATCATGGAGGTGCAGCCCGCAGGCCCGTACTCCGAGCAGCCGAAGGCATCCTGACCCAAAAAAAATGCCATACGCCGCAGGCAAGGCCACTGCGAATGTTACATGGAGAGAATCGCGTGAAAAGAAAGAGAAAAGGGCCGGAGGGGTAAAACTAGAGCTAAGAAAAAGAGAAAGCTATGCCCCTGCTGTGCTGGCTGCGCTGGCTGCTGCTGGGTGCTGTGGCTGCTGCTGGCTGCTGCTGCTGCTGCTGGCTGCTGCTGGATTGCTGGCTTGGTGCTGGGATGATGCTGTGCTGCGGCGGCTGAGGCTGCTGCGGCGGCTGCTGCTGCTGCTGCTGCTGCCGCTGCCGCTCCTGCTGCTGCTGCTGCTGCTGCTGCTCCTGCTACCAAATAGCCCTGAAACTGACATTTTCCATTTTGTCTTGGCTGCAGATAACGCCCCGGACCGGAAAGATAGAAGATGAAAGAAAGATAGAAGATGGGGGTCAAAAATTACCGGAAAGATAGAAGATCAAAAAATGGATCCGCAGCAAGGTCCTCCAAGCGGGCTCCAAAATCCTTTCCGACCCCGGTTTTGGCCCTATGTTGACATAGTATCTTCTATGTTATTCTTCCAAAAACGCCTTGCCGAAAACAAGAAACATAGAAGATGGGGTACAAAAATGGTAGCTGAATATCTTCTATTATGGCGGTATGTACTAATATATATATATATAGAGTATACATCATTTTCCCGGATGTAGGCTTAGCTGGTGTATATATATAATCCAAGAAACATATCATATGTCTATATAATACCGTGGATGGTGGCGAAATCCTGCACCATGCAGGATGGTAGAAACCAGGCCTCAGGCATGTTCTGCACGGCCTCGTTGCTATCCTGTGCAGGAAACCCTTGTGGTGGTGACCATAATCCATATTATGTCATTTCATTGAGGAGTATATGCCGTAAGTATGTATAGTTATATATATATGAGGAAAATGTACAGTATTAAATATCACAGTATTGTAGATATCACCCACAAATCCTCGTGTACATCCAAGTGCAAGGTCAGTTTGAGTATAGCCAACAACTATCGTAAGAATCAGTGTAATGAGCTTATGGCATCTTATGGCCCTATGATAGAAAAAACACAGCCATGGAAATTCCGTGTTCGGCGAATTGTCCATGGGCGGTTGATTGTCCATTGCCAAGTTTCTTTACGCGAAGGTATCTGTATGGTGAGTATGATCTTTAGATCGCAGAGAACATTTTTGACAAATTAGAAACTTCGAAATGGGGGTCGGTCTGATTGAAATGATGCAAAGCATCCTTCTGGGTCCTAAACGGTTGGAACACATGGCAAACCCCACCAAATGCTTGCAACTGATGTTGGTTCCTTTGTCCCAAATGTTCGTGTCGCCAGGTGTCACAAAAACCATGACTGGAAACTTTTCTCATGAATCAAGGCTATATATTACTTTATAATATATATATATGTGTATATATACATACCATATCTATATACACACATATAAGGTTATACAGTTATACAATGTGTATATATATATATATACATATTCAATATATGTGATCATATAGAAGAAGCCAACATGCCTCGTTGCCCTGCAAGATTTCTCCGGCCAGCCTCTGAAGTGGCCGTCTCGGCATCTGCATCTGGGATCTCAAACTGGACCTGCCGGAAGCGGTGAAACATGTCTCCTGAGAAAACCCAGGGAGAATGGATAGAATTTGATAGACATTCTGTATACATATATATATATATATGAATTTCAATCCATTTCAATGAAATTCTTAATGGATATACATTTTCCTATATCATGAACTAGATGGTTAGTAAGTTCCCTACTATTAGTTGAAATTGATAGAAAATATAAGTGAACAGTTTAGGATCAATGGTTGGGAAATCAATTTAAATAGGACTGATTTCCTCATGATTTTTTCAACTGGATCAATTGGGTTCATCATCCCTCAAATACTGTCGGATAATGAGGTCCTCATCATGCCTT